TTCTCTACCTTTAAAATACCGAGATCTTCATGAAGTACGTAAAGATTCGCAGGCAAAGGTACAAAGTATTCCTTTATCAGGGAGCAGTAAAGGAGGACAGTGGCTCAGCCATAATGAATCAAATCTGAACCAGAGTCCTGCTCCAGCAGTGCACCACACAAGTGGTGGCCATAAATCGATCACTTCTGATTAGGTTAGGCTTTACGACGCAGTAATTGTGATAGCAGCAGTTTCATAACTGTGAAACGAGCACTTTGCTCAGCAGCACATTATGCAGGAAGCCCGCATGAACAACGACCTCTTTGGTCAACCTGACTGCACCAGCACAGAACAGAAGCATCCCAAACACAATATATGATTTTTAAGGTTCTCTACCATATAAGCTCCCCCGTTTGCTTTCACGGCTGCAGGCTAACCCAGTCGAGTGGGAGGAGAGGGGAAGGAAATCAAACAATGCAATTCTTAAGAAAGACCAGAATTCAAGCATTTCTATCTCTCTGCAGCAGGCACAGCACAGAAATAAACGCATTTCTCACAGTGGCAAGATGAAATTTTCACTTGGCCGGCAACTGCAGAGCCCATTCCCTGCTCTTCTCTGCGGACCACATGACCGCCTCAATGCATAAGAACATTTTTTGTGCCAGCTTGCAAAGAAGACCACATAGTTAATAGTTTGCAACCTCCTTTCCCCCAGAAGATCTTCAGTGTTGAGTAACAAAATTCCTCACATGATTTCAATGAGAGGGTTCACTTGTCAGAGGCTGCTCCGAGATAGTATCAGATGTCAGGGAGGTGCTGTTTAGACGAAGCTTTCCAACCCTTTCCTTGCAAGGCTCAACTGAAAAAGAAAAAAAACTTCAGGCTATACTGTTTGAAACTGGAAGAAAGGAAAGTAATCTCTAGACGTTATTTTTAAAACGTGGAAGTAAGCCAATTAACAAGGGGAGGAAGAAACACTGCAATTAAAACCTCGACAAACTGGAGATCGAGGACTGATTGCTGCCACAGACTCCATGCAGGACCCTGAGCATCTTAATCCCTCTACACCCTGGTTTGTCACCTGTGAAACCAAAAATAACACTTTCTTTTCATACCTTGTTATTCCTGCTTGCTCTGTTCCCCAATTTATAAGCACTTGTCCAAACATTCATCTTTAGCATGAACACTGGAAACGGCATTCACAGCTAACATACAATCAGTCTGCATGACTGAGTGCTCAAATGTGAACTCTTAGTATACTTGGCTGCCCAGCTGCCCTCATCTCTGTACATGTCAGAAAGCAGTTCTAGTCAACAGAGGAACACCAGAATGCTAAAATACAATTTATTAATAATCTAATTTATGAAAAGAGCTCTCAGGATGGGAGTTGACCAAAAAAATTCCATTTCTCCTATTACCTCCTAAAATCCCACTAAAATCATGCCATTGGTCTCACTCCATTGATAACACACAAGATAATATTATCAGCATAGGTATAATTAAAGGGGCAATCCCACGAGGGCTCACACGCAGATCCAACGCCTGCTCCATTAAAACCAGCATCAAGTGAAATCGACTTCAGCGACTTGAGAAGTGTCAAAGCTGCAGAAAGGAAGGGGAGAAAGGACGACACGCTCCTCTGCAGCAGGAATCTCAAGTTGGCAGCCCCCCTTCAAGAGCTCCATTTCAAACCCTAAACTTTGCATGAGGTGAGAACTCCTCGCCACAGATCCCAGTGCTGGAACGTGTGTTTCTGTAGTGCCCTTAAAAGCTCAGCACAGAAATCACAGTAAAACACAAGTTGCTTTTTTCAGATTCAATTGCGCAGTTTGTTTGATGGAAATCTGTTCATGTCCTCCTGCATACCACCAAACATCTTCAGAGGTGCCTTTATGAAGCGGACGGGGCCGGGTTTTTTATTGCTCGTGCTTCTGTTTCATTCATTCTTCCAACTCCTCTCCCAAACACCGTATCCTAAACGCCCAAATCCCATCTCTGCCTCACTGACGTTCAACAAAGTGCAGTCCCAAACGTTAATGACAGAAAACATCCGGAAATTCATGCTCACTGGAAATTAATTTTATTAAAAATAAAAACCATGTTCAAAACCAATGTCAGAAGCCCCCACTTCCCCAGCTCCAGACACCGAGGAAAACACATCAAACACTTCCATGAACCACGGATCATCACTGTAAAGTAAACGCTTCATAATAAATTCAATTTCCAAACACTGGACAGCTGTGAACTTCTAATATCGCCTTGAAAGAGACCCATAAGGCTCACACAGAAACTGCTCAGAAGTAGCAGTAAGCTTTCTGCAGCAGACACTGGCTCCTAGTTCTGTGGAATTACCGTATCGCAGTACTGAAGGGATGCATATTTTCTAGAAAGGTCAACAAAACATAAAAGAATTGCTCAAGACCGCTTAATGAAGTAGTTGTAGAGAGAAACAGGCCTCATTCACACAGTATTTCCTTGAAGATTTCCTTACCATTCTTTAAATACCCTGCAATTTCACCTCTGGTAGCATTCCTGTAACACAGCTGGCAGTCTGCATACCACAATGTCGTCTAGACCTGCTCTGAACAGAGTTGGATGACACAGGAGTAAAAATGCTGATGCCTGTTCGGGTGCCTGCGCTGTGCTGAAGGAACGAAAGGAGGAAGAAGAGGCAGAGCTGAACGAGACACAAGTTCCTTGTTCCTCATCTCACGCCCAGGCTCCTCAGACAATCCCGTCAACCATACAGAAAAGTTGTGGCTGTCATGGGGCTAAGGAATAATCTTCACAGAAGGGAAAAAAGCATTCCCAAAGCGCTGTTAGCTGATACAGCATCGAGCACCGCTCTTTCACAGAGGTCTCACAATATGCAGCTAACAAACACATCCCTACACTGCTGTATCCCATCCATTTCTCACTTCTTTCCTATTTCCCACCCCCACCTGCGCCTCAGAAATGTTTTCTTAGCAATTTGGAAGAGAAATGGCAAAAAGGAAGATGCAAAACACAGAAATAAATTAAGTTTGTTCCCCGCTGCTGAACGATTTGGCCGTACCATGACAAGAGAAAAAAAAATGTTGAGAGTGATAAATCCATATATACCTACTCCAAACTACACCCGACATCCCGAGGGACCCGATGTAATGGTAAATAAATATAGATGCAGCTCCTACTAATGAGGTAGGGTACAGCAAGGCCAAAGCAAATGCAATCATCTCGGGGAAAAGAACTGCACAGGACTCCTCCTCTCCCATCCATGGAGGAAATCAAATACCAGCCGCACCATCCCAGGAAGAAAGCAGTGTACCTGATGAGCCCTGCAGCAACGAGCTGCACGGGATGCAAGCAGGTACTTCAGGGCTCTGGGAGCCCACAGACCGTCTGCACAGCACCGAGCCTTTCTCCACCAGTTTTCCCTTCTCCAATACAATGTCTTTTACATGCTGTCTTACAAGCAGATTGTAGTTTTTCCCCCAGTTTCCTTCCCCTCCATCCCTATACAGTTGGATCAGAGGGGGGGGGGGGGGTGCACGCAGCAGCCGGGGTCCATCAGATCGGCTCCCACGTTGCCAAGCCCTGGCCATCTGGTTAACACTTTCCTCCCTACAAAGTTTAAACCTTCCCAGCTTCAGCTCACGTGCGTTCTGTACTTAAAGCCACTTATCTGTAGTCCCAATGAGCACAAGAAGAAATTAAGATACAGCCGGCTCCGCAGCCGGCGTGCTTACAGCCTTTATTTTCCTCTTCCTTCTTCCCTCCCCATCCCCAAAAAAACATTTTGTCCCCTGCACATGGGGGGAACAACACCATGCAGCCACAGCTTTTTCCAGATCCACTGGAAAGAAAGGGGAATAAATAAATAACCATTCCAAAGAAGTACTCTGCAAAACAACCGAAAAACCCACCAGAGGTGGAAGAACTCAGCCCAACCCGCCTCGAATTTGCGATTTGAGTCGAAAAAAAACAAGCAGAACAGTACAGAAGTCGGGTTGGCTGAGCCCGGGAGCGGAGCAGGTTGGGTGGGCAGCATCCCCTGTCCTTTCCCCGGCCACGCTGGGCTCAGGGCTCTGCTCAGCCCCGAACGAAGCCGGGCACCCACAACGCAGCACCGCAGCTGCTCTCCCCGAGAAGTAAGGAATAAACAAGCGGCTGACACCCCGCCCAAACCCTCCGCACGCGTTTTTAAGAACGATTTCTCGCCGGCTCCTTCTCCCCATCCCGCACAAACGAATCCATTCGGGTCGACGCCTTCGCCCTTCCCGAAGCCCTCCCGCAAAGCCCCGGTAGCGGTGTGCCCTTTGGCCCCCCCCCCCCCCCCCCATATATCAGTAGGAAAGCCGCGGGGTTCACCCAGAATGGGTGATGGGTCCGTCGGGGGTCGGATCCCGAAAAGGAAAGAGGGGAAAAAGGGCTGAGAGAGAGAAAAGAGAGATGAAGGAGAGGGCCCCCCAGCCCCGCTCGGGGTTCGCAGCCCCTCAGGCGGCCCCAGCCCGAAGTCGGCAGCCAACAACACCAAAACAAGCCGAAAAAAAAAAAAAAAAACAAGAATAAAGAAATAAATGAAGGAGCCAGCACCCACCCAGCCTGAGGGGAGTCCGCCGCCGCGAGTTCGTCCTCCCCACGCCCGGGAGCGGAGATTGGGGGGGGGTTGGGGATGTGGGGGGGTGTAGGGGGGGGGGGTGAAACAAAACAGAATAAAAAGACGAAGCTGCAGCAGCGAGCTCCCGGAAAGCCGGGGGCACCTTCCTGCCCACCCCGCGCCGTCAGGAGCGGCGGAGCCGCGCGGCTGCAACTCGGAGCGCCCAGGGGGCTGCGCCCACCCCCGGCCCGCGTCCCCCTCCTCACGCACCCTCGGCTCTCCTCACGCCGCGAATCTCTCAGGCGGAGGGTGAGGAGGAGGAGGAGAAGAGAACGGGGGGGCCCTTCCCCCTCCCACCCTCCCTCCTCGCAGCCCACCCACCCGCCCGCCCTCTCCCCTCGCTCAGCCGCCCCCCCCCCTTTCCCCCCGCACCCACACTCACCTCCGGGTGCCGGCGGCTCCTCCGCTTCACCATTGAACGGCCGCCCCCGGCGGGGAGCCCCCCCGGCGTGAGGGGAGATTAATGGGGGCGCAGCGGGAGGAGAACAATAGTGGGGCGGAAAGCTCTCGGCTGCCGGAGCCCCCCCCGAGGACGGGAACCCCCCTCCCCGTCTCGCTTTCCCTTCCTCTCTGTTGGGTGTTGTTGGGTTTTTTTTGTTGGTTTTTTTTTTTTTTTTTTGGCTCGCTCACACCAGCCTGACTGTCTTTGTCTGTCTGACAAGCGCCATGTTGATATCAACATCCGAGCTCCCACCTGCTGCAGCTGTGAGACCCTGGGACTTGTAGTTCCCCCCTCCCCAGGGTGACGGGGAGCGCCGCCGATCGTGGACTTCAACTCCCAGCATGCCCGGCGGCGCGGCACGCCACGGGAGAGCGGGGAGAAGCGGGGCGCGGACTACGGCTCCCATCATGCCTCGGGAGGAGCAAGGTGAAACGGAGGGAGGGCGGGCCCGACCATGACGTCATCGCGGGCCGGGGGACTACAAATCCCGTGATGCTCCGGGGCGGGAAGGGGGAACGGGCAGGCAGGAAGGTGGGGGCAGGGTTGTCCCCGTAAATAGAGCCGGGTGAAGCATGAAGCTGGTGAGTGGTGGGGGCTGCTGAGCGGTGAGCTGGGCGGTGAGCTGAGCGCTGATCTCTGCGCTGGGTTCGCCCTCGGGCTGCGGTACCCGTGGGGTGAGGGTGCTTCCCGCCGAGTTAACGGCGCGCTGGGGGGAGCGGTTGAACCGACCAGAATCGTCCTCCCGCCCCTCCTGGGGTTGGGTGAGGGGCAGGCGGGGGGGTTGGCACCTGGAGGTGTTTCTACAGCAGTACGCCGTCCTGCGCGCGTGGGGCTTCTGTGGGGCTGCCCCAGAGCCACGTCGCCACGGAAGTTGTGCTGTGAACGGGAGCTGAGGAGACGAGCAGCGTTTGCTGTGACATCAAATGTCCGATGCGTTTAACCTGATGTCAAACGTAACGTTGTGGGTTTGAGGCTAAGGAAGCTTTATGGAAGTGAACTTGACTTCTGGGCTTGTTTTGAGACTTAAAGTTCATCGCGTTTGTGGTTTAATTGTAAAATTAGTTCAGCAGGTGGCAGAAAAGCTTGATCCCACGTGATGTGGGAGATGGAAGTCTGTGTGTGTGGATGAAGGTCCTGGAGCGTGTCCAGAGAAGAGCAAAAAGCTGATGGGTCAGCCTGGGGCAGGGGAGGCTCAGAGGAGAGAGATATCATGGCTCTGTGCTGCACCTTGAGAGGAGGTTGTGGTGAGCTGGAGGCCAGCCTCTGTTCCAGCTCACAGCGATGAGATGAGAGGTGTTGGCCTCAAGCTGTGCCAGGAGAGGTTCAGGTTGGGTATTAGGGAACATTTCCTCTCAGAAAGAGTGACCCTGTGCTGGCACAACCCAGGGAGGTGTTGTGGTCACTGTCCGTGGAGGTGTTCCAGAACCGTGGGGATGTGGCACTGAGGGATGCAGTGGGCATGGTGGGGTGGGTTGGACTTGGAGACCTCAGAGGTCTTTTCCAACCGTAATGATTTAATGAATGCTTGTGGTTGGAGAAACTGGGAAAGCGTTTCTGGGCATGGCTGTGGAAGCTGATGTTGTAGTGTAGGGGGAAAAGCCAACTGAGAAATCTTTAAATGAAGACCAGTGGGAAACTTGTTGTTTGTAGAGTCTTGTACAAGGGTAGATTGAGGGGAAAGTTTGGTGGGGGATTACAGGCTGTCTGCCATCATTTCAGTGTTTTTAGGCCTGTGTCCCACGTTTGAGGACTGGTGATTGTAAGAGCAGATTCTTCACTTTGTATTTGGTCTGGAGATAGGACTGAATCAGGGGCTTGCAGAGAAAGGGAATTGAATGCTTTCATCCTCCATTCATGTACATTTGCTTTGAATTTGGAAGAACAAGGCAGAGGTAACAGCCTGCAGGCCTGACTCAGAATCCAGTGAAAAACTCCAACTTCAACAAATTTAGTGTGCTTGGGTCCGGGCAAATCCAGTTGAGAGAACTGGATCCGTGGGTAACACCGGAACAAAGCGCTGCAGTATTTGTTGGCTTCAGTTCAACTTGCAAAACTTGGAATGTTTTGGAGCTGCTAGCTTGAGATGTCATCTCTTTTTTTTTCTGTCACTTTGCCATATATGAGCTCACCAGTGACGTTTGGAGCTGGCGAGCCCTCAGCCTGAGCCAGATGTCTGCTGAGAGCCAGGCTGTGTGAGGGCTTCAGCCCCTCGCCTTCATCTCTGTGCCCTGCTCTGCCAAACTGCCATCCAGTTTAGAGAGCACATCAAGGGAGCTGTGCACTGAGATGGGCACACTCATGGTCCTTTATGTTTTGTGTCACTCACAGAGTGACAGCCAACCAAATTCCTTGTTTGTACATTCACTTTTTCACCAGCTTGGTTTATCAAGCTTTCTTAAACTTTGGTAACAGCAGACAAAATGTAATGTTGCTCCTTAATAATTAAGACTTAGTGAACTTAAAACAGAGGACTGTGATGCTGTTAATTTAATATTTGAACGTTAGTGGGCTTTAATATTTAAATATAATTTAAAACAGCTTTCTGATGAATGTATGTAAACAGTCTCCTTGGGAGTCGTTAATTCAAACAGTTGCAGTCCTGTGTTAACATATTGTGTGTGGAGGCAGAGAAGGAAATGATTAATCTACCTTCTTTTCACTTGTGGAAAGCAAGCATAAGGAATAAATGCCTTAGAAAATGACAGTGTTTAGTGCAGTGCATGAACAACAAGTTGATACTTGTCATCTTAATTGACCAAACCTCGAGTTTAAAAGCTGTTTGACCAGCTGAGAGTAGTTGTGCTAGGGGATGCCCGGACTTTGAGATGCAACATCTCTTATTCCTGTGGTCTTTGAAGAACCATTGAGTACCTAGTGGTTGCTGTCCTGTGCTCAGACATCTCTGTTTCTAATCTCACGTTTTAAAGGTATTTTTATTCATCTCTCTTCTTATTCAAAGCTTCAGCTGCTCCTGTGCCTTGTTAAATGCTTGCCACTCTCTGTACTGGAGATGGCTGCATCTCAATGATGCGTCGCAATGATGAGTGCCCAGCACATAACCTGCTTACTGGCTCATTAACCCTGCAAAGCGCTGGGGGTTTCTCAGTACATAAACTGTTCCATTCAGGTTGTGGTGGTCCATTCCCTAGTGTTTCCTGCTTGAGTTTAGCAAGACAAAAAGCAGGTGAGAGCATGCCCTCGAGCTGCTGCACTGCACACTGCAGCTTCCTCGGCGTGCTCTGCACCTTGCTTCTTTGTTAATTCCTTAAGGAAATGTGACTTGTGCTCCTACAGCAATTCTCTGTTTCCACGCCAAGTAATTCTTGAGTTTGCACACCGATTTCAGCTGAGTTTTGCCAGTAGGACCGAGTTGTAAAGATTGTCCAGGATCTTTGTGAAAATGGGTGCTCGTGGAAGAAAGGTTCTGTATGTGTCATAAATTAGAGAGAGCTGCTACTCTATCCATTTGTCCTTTGTGAGCAGAAAACCTTGTGGGAAGAAAATCTGCATCTTAATACCCTGGCGTGGGGAAATTCCAACGAATGTCTACTTTTGAGACAATAATTCACATGAAACCAAGAGTTTCATTCTGGCATGCATGAAACTGTGCTTAAAAATGAGGGAGGAAAAGTCCATTTTCAGGGGATTCGGTCTGTTGGTAAAGGCCTTGAGGAACTCATTTCATATTCTACTTTCAGTACTGCCTGTCGGGACATCCCACCTTACCATGCAACGTGCTCAAGTTCAAGTCCACCACCATCATGCTGGACTGTGGACTGGATATGACATCTACCCTCAATTTCCTGCCGTTGCCACTGGTTCAGAGGTATGTTCTGCAGCCTGTGAGCACTTAGTTTGTGTCTTCTTGGGTTGCAGTTTGAGTGCTCTGCATGAAATGGTATATTGGAAGGAGAGGGGATGAGTACAAATGAACTGCATCATCTGATATCATAAATAGACTTTGTTCACTTAAAAATTCTCTTTATCAAAATAACGTCCTTTGGCTCAGTAGACGGAAGACATTTTATGGATTTATTGATTGGTTTTTCTAGATAATTTATTCTAAGCTTCAGTAAGGTATTGCTGCAACTGCTCAGCACAAGTGAGGTCACATATCTGTCATCTTTCTGGCTTCTTCATGCAAGATGAGATAAATGGGTAACTGAGATGGAGTGCAGGGAGCCCGGCAAGTACTGTTTAACCACCATCTTCTCAGGCTTTTTGTCAGAGCGTGGGCTAATGCAAAGAAAAATAGCACTTAACCATCCTCCTTAGTTGACTTCATGGCATAATTGTTCCCTTTTAAAATTTAAATAAATAAAAGTGCAGTGCACACTGGAATGAAGCAGCAGTGAAGCAAAAGTAGTTCAGGAAGAGAATCCTGAGATCAAAACTCCTTCTGTGCTCTGGCTCACAGGTAGTCTTTTCCTGGATTTGTGAATGGATTTGATGTTCAGAGTGATGCATGTCTTGCATTAAGTGGAACAGATTACAGTCCCACTGTTTGGGAAGGTGGGAATGAGTAGATCCTGGTGGTGTGAAGCTAGCAGGAGTTTTCACAAAAGGCTCTTAGTGACTTTGATCCACAGGGAAAGAAGTGAGATGCGTTCTGGGTTCAGGGGAGGCTGGGTTGAAAGGGCCAGATTGTGACAGGGAAGGGAGTTTTGTAAGTGACCTAATGAGGTTAAAGCAGATGATCAGCACTTTGTACAAGTTGCTGTTTCTTGGAGAAGGGAAGCATAGACAACACAGGCATTATTCTGAAAGGACATGGAGTTCCAGGCTCTGTGCAGTGAGCAACAGATGCCTAAAGGCAGATCTGTGTGATAGTTTATTTTTGCTAACTTAAATATTCAGGAGCAGTAGTAGATTTAGGAATAATAAGAAAAAGAAAGGGTGAATCCAGCTGCAGACAATTCAGTTCAATGCAATTGCCTTGCATTAGCTTCTCCCCACTCCTGAAAGAAGAAAGAAATTGAAAGGGGAGCAAGTAGCAAAATTAGGTGATTGGACAAAGGCTTAGGAGGTTCTTAGAACTTCAGGCATCAGTGCTCCCCTGGGATATGCCAGCTTTGTCTCCTGATAGCAGACCCTGGGAATGAACAGCCAAATTGCAGGTCACAACCTGGAATTCCCCAAGTACCTCCAGAATGTCTGCACTAAAATGACTCAAACTCAATAAGAAAGGATGTCAGATTTGACCCCTGATGGCCCAGAGGAATCCAAGCAAACAGTTGGATTTAA